CACTATTTGTCAGAGGTCCACTGGGGATCCCCGATGATCCTAGGGAAGGGTTACAGGCACGTCGGCCTGGGGGGTTATGGGCGCACTCACCCGCTATATAAACAAGCCCTTTTATCCCAGTGGTTAGTGGCTGGGATTCTGACATGGTATCAGAGCGAAGGTCTCGGGTTCGATTCCCGGTGTGTGCACTTCGGGCATCCCAGTGCGGGGGGGTGTCAGAGGTCCACTGGGGATCCCCGATGATCCTAGGGAAGGGTTACAGGCACGTCGGCTTGGGGGGTTATGGGCGCACTCACCCGCTATATGAACAAGCCCTTTTATCCCAGTGGTTAGTGGCTGGGATTCTGACACTATTCACTCTTGTCTCTGCTTCTGCCGAGCGCCTCACAGAGCACGAACGTCGCCAGCAATTATTGGAGCTCACATTTGAACGTCGTCAGTAGCCGAATGCAAGGTCACATAATTGTGACATGGCTAGAGCGTGTCGCGACTGCAACGTCGTACTACTGCCGTTGCGCTGCACCGCGAACCTTCTCATCATGGGCTTCTTGGGCAAAGCAGTGCGTGATATCGTCACATTCAGTATAAAAACACTACATGGTCATGCCGACAAGCATAGTAGCCTGTGCACTTCGCAATCTAAGAGCTTCTTATCAGCGACGAAAACTAGTCCCACCTGTCAGCGAGAAACCTTGCCGCTCCCAGCCATGGCGAATCTCCTCAAACCCCTGCTGCTCGCTCTCGTGACGATTCTTGTTTGCCTCTCGATGTTCCCCCCCGCATTCGCGGGTCCAGTGCGCGTCGCTCGCACCCGACAGGCGCACGACGAGTACCACCGTCAGCGACAGCTGAGCGACCGTGAGCGCAAGCTGACCGACATCGTCTACCGCGGCTCACTGCCTCCTGTGCACATGGTCGAAACGAAATTCAGCTTCGACAAGGAGCGACGCGAGGAGGAACGACGGAATCAGGGAGGCGCCGGGTCGTCCTCCAAGGCCACTCCCATCAAATACCACGGTGGTCCCGTGATGAGCGGCGAGACGTTGAACGTATACATAATCTACTATGGCTCCTGGCCAGCGGGATCCGGGCAGGATGTGATTGAAAACTTCATTCAGTCGCTGAGTCTAAGTGTCTCCGACGCGCAAGGGGAAGCTGCAGATCCGAAAGTGAGCAACTGGTGGGCGACGAGTGCGAATTACTACTCGAAGGCGTCAGACGGCTCCATCAAAACCGTCAGCAAGGAGGTACGTCAATTTTGGTTTCAAGAAATGTCGCCTCACCCATGAGTGAAAAACTGAGGCTGGCAAAAGGTGCTTTCAGGACTTGACTGGCCCGAATTCCGGCGGAATGTTCGAGTGGTGCAAACGACGGTTTTTTATGTAATGAACGATGTCTACGCAGTGCGTCAAACATTTTCAGTCCCTTAAAACGATGTCTTCGCCAAAACCTTCGCGAAAAAACAATCCAAATTCCACCCCCTGCCATTCCCAGGTGAACCTCACCAAGGTTATCTGGGACAAAGGGTCTCGCGGGAAGAAGCTCGGCCCCAGAGGTCCCTGGAAAAGTATGTACTCATCCCAACATAGCTGTTTCCCTCTCGTCCTGTCTACCGTTTGTTTGCAAACATTTCGTCATTCCACTTACCTCCTTCTATCCAGAATAGACTAACCTCTTGCCCCTCATTTTTTCACAGTTGTCAAGAGCAGGATTGGCTCGGGAAAGCCGCTTCCTTACGACGCCAATGGCATCTACCTGCTTCTCACCAGCAAGGACGTGAAAGTCGCTGGCTATTGCAGTCAATACTGCGGGTGGCACACAATGGATTATCTCAATTCAAAGCCTGTCGTGTATTCCCTCGTGGGTCATCACGGAAGGTGCCCGAAAAGCTGCGGGGCGCTGAAAACTTCGCCCAACGGAAACCCCGGGCTCGATGCGACAGTCTCCACGATCGCTCACGAGATCGCGGAAGCTGCGACGGATCCCGATGATAGCAGCGGGTGGTTCGATGCTAACAATGAAGAAAACGCGGATAAGTGCAGCTACGACTACGGAGAAACGCTAACTACTCAGAACGGAAAAGGTCAGGATGCAAAGTACAACCTCGTGGGACTCAACGATATGAAGTTTCTGGTGCAGCAGAACTGGGACGTGACGACGCACTAGTGCGTTGTGCAGACGACTGAATAGGGGTAGGATGATGGACTGTGATGAGTCTTTGAGGGTGACGAGAATAAACGCGCAACTGGAAGGGAACGGGCGGGAGGAGATGGCCGCAGTTATCTCGACAGCCCACCACCTCTCCCATGCTTCTGCTCTTCAACACATGCTGCACTAGGGAATAAATGGTCCATAGCGTTGCTGGGGTGGTAGCAGTAGCGTAGGACAAAGTGGTTTTGCAAGTGAATATTGTTTTGTTGAAGATTTCAAATCAAATGATACATTTTCTGTTCAAGCGAGCACACAATCCAGCTATTGGCTGGTTTGGTGATCACCAAAACTGTGAATCAGGTGGCATTCCTACGCAGAGGAATCTTTTTCATCTTCACACTCTTCCCACTTCCTCTAAGTCCTATATCTTAAGCAATCAAATGTGTGTCACCTTTCCTACGATTCAACATTGCCGAAGGTTTAATTCGTCCTAGTGTAGAGTCAAATAAGTTTCAGTTTTCTGTATAAGCGCTCTACCATCTCCATAGAGGTGAACACTTGAAGCGAATCCATTTGTTGGGTCGAGTCGCATCAATTCTTCAGAATGTTCATAGAATTCGATTGATCTTTATTACCAGCTAATACCGCTTTGTACCCAGACGATTATTCCTGAAACCGCGAGAAATATATACATCTTCGAAATCCCTCCCTTTCGCCCCTCCTCACTGAACGTACTGCATGAGCAAAGCGCACCTTTCACCATTATTGTACCTTGCACCGAGGCATGGCATCTCGCGAGTCGCGACCGGCCTTCAGGTTGTGCATTTCTCGCTCTTTCGTAGTTCCTGTATCATCGCTCTAGACGGTTCCGCACCGTGACGAAACGTAGTTGACCGCAGTGAGCGTACAGAAGCAGTGCAACTGACATCGCCCTTACCGTGCAAGTACAGCTGCATATAATTGTGAAGTGTCTACCCCTCCGCACGACGTCGCTCCACAGCCGTGGCGCGAGACCCATGGATCGACTCATCATAGGCGCGACAGCCCGGGCTGTGCTGCATTCAGTTTAAAACTATGCGTAGCCATGCTGAGAAACATCACATTTGCATCCTCGGCATTCGAAATTTGAGCCGTGATCCCGGAATTTAGTACTCATAACAGCTACTCCTTGAAATACTAGCCGTCGTCAACAGCTCCTGCCAACACCCGACCATGGAAAATCTTCTTAGTCGCTCATTTCTGCTGCTTGTTCTTTCGGTGATGCTCGTCTGTATCTCGATGCTGTCCCCCGCATTCGCTGGGCCGAAGCACCTCGCTCGCACGCGACAGGCACACGACGATTACCGCCGTCAGCGACAGCTGAGCAACCGTGAGCGAAAGCTGAGCGACGTCGTGGAGCGCGAGAATCGGCCTCCCCTGCACCTGGTTGAAACCAAAGCCGCTTTTAACAAGGATAAGCGCGAGCAAGGAGGGAAAGCGTCGACCACTCCGATCCAATACTGGGGCGGTCCCGTGTTGAACGGCGAGATGCTGAACATATACGTAATCTACTATGGCTTCTGGCCAGCGGGAGTCGGGCAGAATCTGATCGAGAATTTCGTTCGGTCGCTGAGTTTAGGACGCGCTGACGAGCAGGGACAGGCTGGGGATCAGACGGTTAGCAACTGGTGGGCGACGAGGACAAAGTATTACTCGGAAACGACTGGCTCGACAACAACCGTCAGCTCAGAGGTATGTCGGTGTCGAATCGATTGTAAGAAGGTGAAATGGGGTGACATCGGCAAGCAATGGGAGCTCGGAGGTACGTCAGAAAGTTCTAAGGTTTCGATCCACACATTTCACCTAACCGAATTTGACCATTCAACTCGTAGAACGGTCTGAGAGGCTGGAGGGATAAATATTTTTGGCGATTGCTTGCGTCATTTTTCTGATTCCTCTTCTTTAAGCCCATCGTCCGCTCCCCAGGTGAAACTTGCGAAAGTTATCTACGACAAAGGTTCCCGCGGGAGAAATTTTGGTGAAAATACGCCCTGGGAAGGTGCGTTCTGGCCTTCTTCAATCTGGCTATTTTCTTTCCCATTTGCATGTATCCCGTTCGTCTTCCGACATTGCGGCATGCTCGACATGGGACTGTTGGTTGTCGAAGGTCGCACTAATCTCTCGCCCCTCTGTTTATCGCAGTTGTAAAGAGCAAGATTGGCGACGGAAAGCCGTTCCCTTACGACGCCAATGGCATCTACCTGCTTCTCACCAGCAAGGACATTAAAGTCCCTGGCTTTTGCACAGAATACTGCGGGTGGCACACTATGGATTATATCGATCAGGAGGCTGTCGCGTATTCTCTATTGGGTCATCACGGCAAGTGCCCACCATCGCGAAAAAGGAAAACTGCGTTTTTTGGCCTCCGAAGGTTTTTCTGCGTCGGCCTTGCGAGAATGTTGCGGAAAGCTGCGGGAAAACAACACACTCAAATCGCAACATTCCGCCCACCAAAAACACGCGCGTACATCATATGGAAAATATTGACTACGCAGTAGCAATACCGCAAAGCTTTCGGAAACCCGAAGCGCACACCTCCACCCCGATTCGCTCTCCCCCTTTCAAATTTCTCGCACAACTGTCCGCGGTATGGTAAGTGCGGTTCGTCCATTCTGTCACTGTATAACCTCTTATCGCAAACAAAGTTGACCCTTACACACAAATGCCAAACATGGGTTGAAAACTCCATTCCAAATGTTCTCCCATAACAACCACTATTACATCAACAAGACAACCCCACACCCGTCAACCAGTCGTACGCTACCGCGCACACACAGCTCCCACTACTTTGCCCACTGCAAGCAACTGCATCACTCATCGTCCTCTGTCTCGCGCACCGCTGGGTCTGGCACGTCCTCAGGGCACATCCCCGCGCGCGCACGCTTGACTGGCGTCCTGCCGAGGCGGGAAATCACCTCCTGGTTAGATGCTCCGACCTCTGCTGGCACGAGGGCCGGGGGAATGCCGAGCGCGTCGGCACGCTCCACGTACGCATTTGTTACGTTGCGAATCACGCGCCGCCTGCTGCGCTCGTCACGCAGCAGTGGGCCGTCTGGCAGGCTCATCTCGCCCGACGAGTCATCCGACGCGCTGGCCGCAGGTGTGGCCCTGAACCCCTGCTCCACGCAGAGTCCCGCGTCGCAGTTGACGAACTCGGCCGCCGTCATATAGCACGCAGGCCTCATCTTGAACTTCTCGATGAGCAACTGCAGCTCGACGCATATCGCAATGAGGGGCTCAAACATGCCCGTTGCGCTCGTGTCACTCAAGTACGCCATCAGTGGCGGCCAGCTCGGGGGCACGCATCCGGCGCGCCACCAGCTCCTCTGCATGGTTGCTGCGCGCACGCGAGTCCACGCTTCTCCCAGCCACTCGAGCATGAGGCCATAATCCACGTCAGTGATGGATGCCGAATAGTCGAACTGGAACCGCTTCGCCGCTATCGCACGCTTCATGAGCATAACGCGGTAATGGCCCTTCAGCGCATCCTCCACTCCCTGCAGGTGCGGAAGGCCCCCTTCAGGAACCGACCCACGAATGTTGACGATTCGGGTGTTGGTGAGGTGCTGCACACTGAAGCCGTGCTCCGTGACGGGTCGCGCGACCTCGCCTGTGATGCGATGCGCCTCGTGAATGGTTAGGATGAGGGTGTTGCGATCACGGCTGAAGTGCACACCATTTACAGTCTCCACGAACTCCGTGAACACCTGTGTGCACAACATCAGACAGAACGCACAACACCATCATATGTACGGTACGCACACACGATGCACATGTCAAACACGCACGGTGCACAATGAGTACACATTGTCCCGTACCTCCGGCGTCAACCGCCCGCGATGCGTATACCGGACGGCCACCTTGCGACATGCCGCGCTCCCCCGCCTGCGTTCCGGCCTATCGTACGGCGATAGAACAACCAGAGGCACCGCGGAACAACTCCCCGTCGCGTTGTAAAGAATGCCGACGCTGACAATCCGCTCCGCCCCAACGCGCTTATCCGGAATGTATGTTTTCGGAAGCCGGCTCGGGAGAAAATTAATCTCGTGGAAGCAGAACACGTCGTCCGGGTGCGCGGTAGCCAGCAGTCCCTTCAGGTCACCCATTGTAGCACTCTGACAACCAGGTTGGCAATTATGCTTTGAAGGCCGGAAGACCCCGTACTAGATATGTTTCACTCTACCGGAACGTACCCCCATTTTGCCCCTGTACGCACACTGCGTACATCGGTTGACATGCGCCACACAACAAACAGAACACTACCCCTGCGCCGCTCGACGATAACGCACACATGTGAAACGCCCACCCGTAACGTGAAGATAGGCCATCTCGCGTCCCCGACGCCACGTACGCGTCACCCATATCTGATCAGCCAACGGCCTGTGCTCGGTCGTTCACACCACCACACATTGAAGCGCGTCAACCTCGACCGCACAAACGTCAACTGTACTCATACCCGTTATGTACCTGACATTCAAACTGCAAGCCCAATTAACATGCCGTTTATACACCTGCATTAACATTGAGCATACGTCATCTGTGCGGCCTACCCATGCACAATCGGCCATCGTACTGACATGTACATGTGTGCATATTATATCATCCGTGTCTATGGCCTTTCACCAACTGCAACACACCATACCCATGTCACCATCAATTCCAAGCACACTTTCGTCTACCTACTGCATTCCAGTACCCATCTATCCTGCATTCCACGCAGCTAAATCGTATATCGTGTTGTTTGCCAACCATGTGGATCAGCACTGCCGTTCCACCCCACCAACATGCATCGTCACTCACATAGCAAAAACCTGTTCACTAATTGCACCTTCTTGTTGCTATACGAAGGGCACACGTGCACCACTCTCTGCAGGCTCCTCAACTCCACCACCGAGTACCTCACCTTCTCCACTTGCTTGTGCAGCTGCTTGCACCCCGTAAGCTTGCATATTCCCGCCCCCTCATAGTACCGCACGTATGCGTACCCCTTCCACTCCCCATCACGGTCAACCGCCCTGAAGATGCACATACATCTTGCAAACCAGTCTCCCTTCTTGTTGTTCAGCAGTGCCACGTCCGAATACCACCTCTCTCGGGGAGACGCCTTCACAAATGTCCTTTTCGCCACTAGCTCTCCGCCCCTTGTGCGCGGAATGGCCACCGCCGTGTGGACCTGTCACACCATGGAACCTTATCCATCATCACATAGCATCATGAGTGCAGTGACAACCAACGTGACAACCCCGGATTCGTCATGTAACGCTACAATAGCATCACCTCACCTGCACGTTGTTGGTAGACAGCCCCAACGCCTTGAACTCATCGGCCATCCCCTTCATCTCGTCTCCAAGCGCGGCGGTGTACTCATCGTACACTGGATCCGACTCCCCGCCTATGCGCATGATCCGATACTTCTTTGTAAGCATCGGTTTCCTCGTCTTGATTGCCTGCACGTGACTCCCACATGCCCACAACAAACCGCATACCGCTTGAGGCACGACTCTTCCCTGGTAAACCGCTCCACTGTATACTCCCAATGGCCATCACAGTACCAAGAACACCCGTACGCACCTCGCTCAATGCGGTCGCGTACCGTCGCCCACCCCCCGCGTCTGCAGCCACTTCACGGTACACCTCTCGCTGCACCTCCTCCTCCACAATGCGGCGTGGAATGTCGCTCCAGTTGCTCCCTCTTACTGGACCCTTAACCGTGCCCTTGTGCGTGCGCTCCCACATTTCCGTGGAATAATGGTGCGGCATCCCACGGTGCACAACGTTGTCCAGTAAATGCCTTATCATGTGTATCTTTGGGAGTCTCCAGTGGGATGCCTGCTTTGGAAATGCCCGCGGTAGCAACTCCACCAACCTGCCACACCGTCCACAAAAGCATACAACACTCGATGAACCATCGTGTATCACCCCACAGTGGCCGCACAATCAAACCGCACACGCTCCCAGCACCCCGACCAACCACTCAAAGAACTCATGTATGTACTCACGCTATCGCATGCTGACGGGCAATCGCAATTGTTGTATGTGTGTGCCTGTCAACCCCCAGAAACGCCTTGTAAAACACAGCAAACAGCCGGAACGCTTTGACCTGTAAAGCACGCAGCTCTCCCTCCTCTCCACCCTTCAATGCACTCTCGTCAGCCACCAATATCAGCATTATCTGCATCATGCTCCTGTGCTCGAACGCGGCGTAATTTGCGCCTGAACTGAAGAACGATGAGCCCCCTGGGATTCGGAGGAGAACGCTAGGCGTGATGGCCTTGAACTCCTTCTTGCGTCTGCGCACAACACGGATTCGAGGAGCTCATGTAGCGGCACACATGGTGTCCTACAACCCAACTGACCCCGGCATGGTAGAGCATGCCCAGTTCGACCACCCAGCAACACCCGGCTCACCGTTCAAGCAGCCGCATCTCAACCTTCCCGAGCGGCTCTATGTAGGTGTCCATCATGTGGATCAGCACGCCAGAGTCCAGAACATGCAGTGTGTCTGCAAGGCATGCCAGATACACGTTGCCCCACTCTGTGTCTGCGAAATTCCACCTGTGAAGCACGCACTGCATGGTGCAACGGAGGACACGACGGTGTCAAAACGTGCCCACTGTGATACAACAACAAGATCCTATCCAACTCGAAACAAACCTCGATCGGATAGGTTGACCACAACTTCCGCACATCGTCAGCGTGGCTTTGCGTCTTACACGCCAGGATCTGTCGGACAATGTCCCTCTGCTTCTCGGGGGTACGTGGATCTACCTTCCCCACCATCATGGTCAACTCCCCCTTGTCTGCATAGCAGTTAGCGCATGGTCGATGCGACCCTTGCTGAAGCGTCGCAGATGCTCTGCTGGACTCAGGGAAGTCGGCAGGGTATCCGTACAGGCAAGGGACCGCCTTGTGCACCTTACCGTCCACGTCTGTGCAGTAGAAGAAGCGAACTGGCGCGCTGCGCAGTGTACAAATGCGAAGGCGATGGTGTGCAGTTAGTGATGTCACATATACACAACTCGGTGTCCTCTCTCCACTCACTACTTGATGGGGTGCCCACCACGGGCGACTACGTGTAGCATATTCAACACCACCCCTCTCCCCCCAGTGTACCTTGCAGACTCTCGCATGATGGGCGCGAGGATGATCTTTAGTGCCTCCTGGAAGACGCGCGTCTTCTCCGTAGGCGATGCCCACTCAGGTGGGAACGGAAGCACCGCCGCCAATGTGTGCCCAGGCTCTACTCCACGCAATTCCGCCGGAATGTTGATAAGTGAGATCAGCACCGGCCACGCGTTCCTCCTGCCATTCCGTGATGCCTGGGTGCTATCACTGTATATCAGCACGCCTAGAATGAGTGCATCCTCGTCATTAATCTCCTTCTGCCATGTGCACCACACGTGTTGGTGAGCTGTGGGTATTCGACTGCATCGTGTGTTTTGTAATCCACAAGAAATGGGGAGAGCCTAAACGCTGGGCAGCGTGCATCCAATCACCCGTCTCCGGTCCTTCAAAAACCCTCTCGTTGTTCTTCTTCCGATGAATCTTCCTTGGTTTCCAAACGAACCCCTTCTTCGATGAGAACGTCCGCACCAGCTTCTTCAAAATCTGCGGGCATCGAGGTGGACTCAGGTGTGAGTTATGGTAGGTAATGAACGGTGGTCACGGGCGACACTTCATTACGACGTCGTGAGCTGTGTTGGGCTCCTATTACGAACCAGCTCTGTGTCGCGGAAGTGCAGTAGCAGCTTCATTTGCATTCCTTTGGGGCCCCGCACCACTATTTCCTCCGTTTTCCAAGGGACCATGTCGGCGGGAGCTCGCGCCATGCCCCAGCGGCGCACGTCCACCCAGTTGCGCCATCGTCTGAGGGCCCGTAGGTTGAAGCGCGGATTGCGGAAAATGTGTAGCAGACGGTTAACTTCCCTGTGCGAAAGATCGGCGTCCCGGAAGAAAAGGTACAACTCCGTCAGTGTATCGAAAATCTCCACCCTCACGCTGTCTTCTGAAGACTCTGCAGGTTCGCCGTCAGCGGGTGTATCCTCGTCGCCAACAAGACTGACTTCGGGGAGAGAAGCCGTTGGAGCAACAGATACAAAACTGCCATCATCATTCTCCTTACGCCGGGAGGCCGGCGGTGTGTTAGGTCTGCTCTCTCCGTCACATGCAAGGGCTTCCAAATATGCAGCTAGCAAAAGACTCTCTCGTTTCCTCTTCAACTCGGCGCGACAAACTGCACCATTAGCGACGTGAGACTGTAACCTGCTGTCGTCTTTAAACACCGTCTCGCACACCAGGCAACTGTTGCCCGTCATCCTACAGCTGTGAAACCCTAGGGGGCCCAACAATCTAAACCCTGTTCAGTACCTCATGTGCGCACTAATACAACTCACAGGAACAACTTATCGCACACATATGTGCAGGAAGACGTGAATCGTGTGCAGGAAACAACGGGTCATGTGTTACACGTAATCAATATACACTTCACCATGATGATTTGCTATTTAATAAAAGCACTATATCTACGTCCTTTAATTAATTTTTTCTTAAAAAAAAATACGCATGTCCCGATGTGGCGAGAACCAAGGACTGAATATGTGTACATACAAACACCACGAACCCAAAGTTGTTTTGCAATTTTCTATGCAATGTCGCGCAATGCACGTATACACCCACCCATTTTTTACCCCAACAAAGAACTATAGCAAGACATTGAATAACCGCGTCTACCAGTACACGATTATCTTAACCCATAGCACAACGACGGATTATAATCGAGGCTTGGCGCGCCCTAAGAACACAACGACCCATGTGCCCCCTACCGCGTACGTCGTTATCGGATTCCGCGTCGTTCCGATTGTGCAAGAAAATCGGGCCACAACTGGCCAAACCACCATGCACCAGGTTTGGTGACCCACCCAAACCTCGGACCACGTATTCCGAAACCCTTGGCTCATCACACGTGGATCTGCATATGACCTCACCATCACATCCAGGCGAGCTGTCCAATCACACCTGGTGCATCGTATGCGATTCTCCGCCAACGGTGTGGCTCATTGAGCATATGCATGACGTTCGCACCAGCTTGGCACGAAAGGCATGGGTGACGCCCTGCTCTTGAATTCATTCCGAATAGTGCCAATGTCGCGAGATCCGTGAGTAGCTGTGCTCACCCAGTCATCCCCTCCGTGCTCACCTTTTAATCACTCAGCGTCCTCCGAATGGTAGTGAGTGCTCGTTCTAGATGGCGAATCCTAAACAGATGGTCTCTAAGCACAACCGGTTCTATGAACCGGAGACTAGCAGCAGCGGCGATGAGCAAGATCCCGACCCGCCCGTCACCAGATCTAGGGTGTCGAACAAGGGCGACAATACTACTGCTCCCAGCCCGCCGACGAAGGACTCCGCAAGGGCTTCAGGTTCGCGTCTCATGTTGTGGAAAAGGCGAAGGAGCCCGTGCCGGACGACATCGTGGCCGCTATCGGCCGGAATTATATGAAGGCATCTTACAGCAACATGATGCTCATGAATCACCGCGGTGTCGGATGCGAGGTGGATAAGGACGACTTCATGTCCATCGAGGACGATCAGTGGATTACAGATGGGGTTATCGACTTCCACAACGTGTAAGTACCGTTATGACGGTCGCACCCTTTACGCGGGCTTTTGTTACTGATGCCTGTAGCCAGACATCGTAACATGTACTTGTTCACCTCTTCGCAGGCTGCTTAGCATCAGGAAACCAACGCTCCGCAACGGGAAGACATGGGCCGCCATGGACTGCAGGGCTTACACACAGACGAATGCGCATGGAGCGCCGTTGACTCTTGGGAACGGGCGGCCGCTTGTGGAACACGATTATCTGGCGATCCCGGTGCTAGAATCGTGAGTATCGTGCATAACGTGTTTTTTGATGGGTTTCTGTGGTGTGCCATGGTGTACTGTCTATCCACGAACACATTTAACACCACTCATATTGCGCGCAGTGAGCACTATTCGCTCGTCATCGCTATAAATCCATCGGTGCTCACCAAGTCGCCGAAATCGAAGGGAAAACAGCGCTTGACGTTGGTCTTGATGGACAGCGCGATCAAGAATCGAAACAGCCGCAAGATTTTTGCAGGAACAAAGCTGTGAGTCTGGGTGTGAATAAGTTCGTATACAGTAGCCTTGCTTGATCTGTATATTAATACCAGTTGACCTGTTGCGTTCAGTGTGCTGTCTGAGCTCGCAAAGGCGAGCACCCCAAGCGCGAACATGGAGTTTGTGGACAAGACGATGAAGGAGGCGGACTGCATAATTTTACGGGTCAGTGTGCGACGTTGTTTGTGGACACCAATATGCGGTTTGCACATGCATGTATGCAAACTAATAAACGTGGTGTGCGTTCCCATATTGGCAGGAGGATAAGCTGCCACAGCAGCCTAACAAGGAGGACTGTGGGATTTTTGTTTGCCAGTACCTCAAGACCCTGGTGAATACCGACTTCGCCACGGTTCTTTCGGGCCTCTGGTTCCAGGGTGTGACACCGCACCAATACAGGCGGGAGATGCGGCGCGACCTGTGTGCACACGCGAGCGGCGATCTTTTGAAACAGCTGCAGGACCTGGGAATTGAGATCCCCCCGCAGGACGAAGGCCGGGTTACCGATGAGGGTACAGTGGTGCAGGTGAAGAACGCTGCTGTGGGAGATGGGAGGCCGGCACCGGTCACTCGCCCTGTGGAGGACGCACGGGTTACGGAGGTGATGAGGCGTGTAGCCTCATTGACGAACGATGTGAGGTACCTGAATGCCTGCTTCACCGTGATCGCCAACTTTGTGGGACTGAGGCGGGACGAGGTCGTCTCCGCTGCAACCCAACTGCTGCTGCAAGGCGGTCTCGCGGGTACCGGCACGAATGCAGAGGCGGGTGGCAACAAGACTGCGCCACGCACACCACAGTGCCCGTCTGCCCGTAAGAGGCGGGATGACAGCAGTCCTGAGGAGGATGGCGTACGCAACGGCACCCGGGTAGCGCTGGCCTCCGCGTTCGCTGCATGTGAGCCGACATCGAGCCTGCTGCCGAACCCGCTGCTCTCCCACGGTGCCATACCTCACTGGATGTTCACGCGCGGGAGGCAGCTGCTCGGGACGGGTGTGCCAGCTGGAGATGACACGTGGGGAGACACGCTCGGACAGGAGACGGTGAAGGGCGAAGAGGAGGAGGATCTCGTGTCCGACTCAGACGACGATGGCGAGGACGAGGATACGTGTGCAACCACGTACACGGGTGTGAAGCTGGACAAACGGACTGGCAAGTTCGGCGTCAAGATCTTGATCAAAGAACGTGGAAAGCGTAAGCAGCAGCGACTGGGAGCGTACACGAGTGAGGAAGAGGCGGCATTCGCGTACGCCGCAGGTGCGTTCGTGCTGAGGCCACGCGACAGGATATCCAACACAGTCACCCTGTCAGCAGCTGAGAAGGCGATGCTGCGTGGATGCACAAAAGAAGATTTGCAGATACTGGTGGAAGCGAGGAAGTGGTGGAGGTGGCGGAGCTGGCGTGAGGCGCTGGAGAGCGTGAGCAGCAGGCTGAAACGAGGGAGGAAGCGTGGGGGTGACACAGGTACATCAAAGAGGCGCAGGGTGGTGGATAACAACGACACGGCTACCAACGAACTGGCGGCCCCCGAGAATGCTGAGAGTGGGGGAACGGCCCCCTTGAGCAACGGGCACGGCGGAGGTGCAAAGGAAAATGACCAGGAAGAGCGACAAGGAGACAGTGGTGCACACAAGAAGACGGCAGCCACGGCGGCATAGTGGTTGTGGAGTCAAAGCATATGAGATACTTGTCGGTGCGTGTATTTCCTTATGTCTGCGTTGCACTAGCTGATCTTCATAGGGTGCTTATGTGGTTGTATGCATGTGCGATCAATGCTAAGGAGTGTGATTATCGTCCAGGTTGTTTTGTAAGATGGATGCGTTATCGTGCAGTTGGTGTGCTGAATGTCGGAAAAGGTTTATGGAATCCGTGAATACCGGAAACCGTATGTCTATACTAGTGTTCGCACAAACGAGGTGCATGGATACGGTTGTGTCCCCACGATGTGCGCAGTGTATGGTTCTGCTGTGGACACCCGTCACTGATAGGATGACGTGCTGTTCACTCATTGGACATTTTGGGTTGCGGACGTCCAGATGTGCACGAGGTATTCCTGGCTACCCAACTCCTCGAGTAAACGGTGTCGCGGTGTGTTTGGAAGTTGAGCTCCCAACTCTACGTATAAAAATGGGTAGCGCGTCACTATCAAAGCATCTCACTGGATACTTCAATTGCTATAATGGAGACCTCGATGGCTTCCGAGGATACGAGGGCCGGAGGCCGCTCACGTCGTGTCTCACAACCGCCGGCATACCTGCGTTCGTCATACCAGTTGACGATGCCGCGAGGTCGGCTGTCGAACGGGAAACGTGGGGCGACCGTTCCCAAGCGCCTGAGCTTGTCCAATAAGGGAAAGGAGGTGACACATTCAGAGCAAGGTATGCAGAACGAGCTTGTGTGGATGAGTCCCGAAGTTTGTTGCACGCGATGTTGTAACGCCGACGAACAATGGAGTAACGAAAGATGCTAACTTGTGGTGTTGTGCTTCCCTGGTGTTTCTCTCACCCACAGATGACGGCACGGGTGCAGAGAGTGCAGATTCGTCGGAGCGCAGTGAGGAAGAGGACGAGGAAAGCAAAGACACATCTGCGTCAGGATCACACGAGGAATCCGCCGACCTGGGTGCTGGAGGGAAGACGAACGACGATGGATGTGCGGGAATATCCGCGGCCAATGCTGACATGCGCACACATCAAGATGCGCGGGACACGGATGTGGCTCGAGGCGACGGCCGAGGACAGGCGGACGGACTTGTTGGCCGCACACGCGTGAACACCTTGGACGCCAACGGCGATGACGTGCGCATCCCTAGCCGGATCCTCGAGCAACTCATACAGGCGCAGGACAAGAGCGCAAAGGAGAACGCGCGGTTGGAGGCGCTGTTCTTGAATGCGATGTCTCGGCCTTCCGGTGGCTCTCGTAAGCGTAAGGCTCAGAAGCAGAGAGACCCGGGGCAGGGTTGTATGAACCCGAAGCGTCAGCGTGGTGAGACGTGGAGTGGCGGGTCCGACGGCGACGGCGAGGATGACGATGACGACACGCATGGTTCTGGTGGCCGTCATATGCGTACCGCCAAGTCTCCTATTCTACAACGCGCGTTGGAGCATTTGCCGACGGACAAGGCATGGAAGGTGAGCGGGCATGTTACCGTTGAGGCCCTATTTCCGTTCGTCGTGTTGGGCTGCCATGTGGGTCAGTTGATGGTTACCGGTTTGCACTTATATTATGTTTTGTGTATACCGTATGTGCGTAGAGGGTTTGCGAGCTGGCCAGGGTGCACATGTTTCTCAACAGGCCGACGTCGACGATGACCTTCTACCCGAGCAGCGACGATAAGACTCACGGAGTGTGTGCGGTGCTGGACCGCCTGCCGCATAGCTTCGCCTGTTTGGCGTTGGCGGCTGACAAGTCGCGTCGCGCGAATCTCAACAAGACGCTCTCTGAGTGGAAGACAAGGGCTGCCGCACGCGTGCGAGACATTGCACTTCCCAAGCTCGGATTGTTCCGCGACGACTCGGATTGTTCCGCGACGACAGGGACGCATGCAGCCCATGGGCGCCCGAGAAGGCACGCAGTATCGATAAGATCAGGGAGCGCATTGGTCTTGGCGCTGACCCCCCTGGTGAGTGCATTCTACCACAGCAGAGAGGGTTACCTACGTACGGTTATGCTGACCACCCCGTGGTTGGCGGCCGCTGACACAGACAGTGCGCATGTGGTGTGCAGAAACCCTGGTGCTCACGAGCTGGGCAAACGACCGCGATGGCATGACGTTTGCCTCCCGGGCATTCGCGACATGTGCGAAGGCTGCATTCAGGCCCAAGAAGGCCGGGCTGGTGATGACACTGAAGGTGTACCACCTGGCCTGGTTGGAGCATGTGGTGAGTCTGTGCGCTTTATGTGAGCCATGTTTTCGCGTTGTACTGTCGGACCATTTGGGTGACACGCTGGGTGGTGGATGCGCAGGTCTCCGACTGCGTCCTCTACTGGGAGGAGAGGAAAGGCCGGCTTTCCAACTCGGCCGGCGGCAACGCACACGTCGTGGACGGCCTCAAAGTCCTGGTGAAGGAGGCCGTGGAGAGGGCGATCAGGATCCGCAACCCGGAGTATGACGCGGAGCGAGAGGCGTGGATCTGGGGGCGCCATGGACTGCGCATCTCTGCGTGCGGCCTGGAGCACATGAAGCCCACCGCCGCAGCTCAGTCCGAAGAGCCTGCGGGGGACGACGACCTCTCGGCGTCAGTTGGTGATGAGTAGGCTGACGGGCGTGTGGGGGCGTTCAACATTTAGGCGCGCACCGTTGGTGGGACAGGTGGCTGGTGTCGTTGAAGGCATCATTATCGGTTCCGTGTCAGGGGTTTGAGCAGGCTTTTTAGTGGGCACTGGATGTTGCATGTGTGGGCTCTGAAGCTAGTGGGATTGTTTATATGCCTGGCTACATTGTATGCTTGTGTGTGTGTATGTTTTTAATGGGAGAAGTATTTATTGGGGTATATACGCATTTGACAGGACAACAAGGATACCCATCGGTTGCGATACACATCGGGAAGCCAGTCACCCAGGTGTTTTGTGTGGTGTAGACCGCGCCGCAATTTGCGGCGCTTTTCACGGAACGTGGCAGGTGACACGGTAATGTGTGGCCGTAAAAGCATCCGCGGTGCGCAAGCGTAGACATCTGATTGGATGCAATGGATAAGAAATGAGGACCCACCAATTGCATACAATGGTTGCACGCGCTCACGTACGCGTGTCACCGTACGGAGCGAAGGCGAAGTTGAGGTTGACGGGGGGGGACTCGCTGTGATATGCGGGTAGAGTGCGCCTGATGTTCGGTTGTGATTGATTAGCGAAGACGTCGCGAACGCGAGCCACGATGAGATGGTTTAGGGTTACTGTATGTGCGAGTACACGATCGCACGGCAAGTGTACGGGGTAGATCGATTTATTATGCGTGACGTGTCAGCACGGTGGTGGATACGATGTACACAGATGGACGATGCAGATGGCGTCGACAGGTAGTCGCGCGTGCGTTACTACTGGTTGGCGATAAAGCTGTCGAAGTGTACGATACGGGGGCGACGCGACAGGTGTACGGTGATTATGCAATGTAGTGCAGGGTGCGGACGGGGAATGCGCAAGTGTAGTGAGGCCACGTGGTAGCATGCTAGTGGGTATCAGCGGCGTGACTTGCGGTTAGCGCCCATGTGGGTTGCCTCCAACTGTCAACTGTGTACTGGATGTGCGTCCATCAGATGTACGGTGCAGAACCGCGCGCGGGGTTGGCGCGAGCATGTGCGAGTTAGTGTTCGCGAAGTCGTAACGTGGTGTGCGAATTTATGTGCAGGCGACACGTGAACCGTTGAGATTGCGTGACCCGAGTGTTCATCCAACGGTTGGGGTGCGGGTACGTTTTGGTGCATGTACGCTGATGTGGCCGTGCGGGTTGAAACAGGGTGCCACGTGGGTGTGCGCGTACGGAGTGGCAGTTGGGGTTGCGTACTCGTCGCTTTCTAGTTGGTTGGCACGGTATGGTTAGGTAAACTTTTGTGTGGCGCAGCCCGTTTCTGTTTAGCAACTGCGCAGATGCGGGTGCAGTGGCTAATTTGATGCACGCATATGTACAGAATGTCGCGGGAAAGTGGACGCAAAGTTGCTTTGTAAGTGACTGTCGCCATGCAGATCTAAAACCTTGACTCAAAAGTGCCGGGAAAAAAATATCGGGAATGTTGAGTAAAAGTCTATTTCGATTTGCTTTTCGGACTTTCCATTTTCGCGATGACAGAATTGCGGGGCGCGAAGGTTTTCGCCCAACGCGAATCCTGGGATCGACGCGACGATCTCGACAATCGCTCACGAGATTGCGGAAGCTGCAACGGATCCCGACGCGTCTACCGGCTGGCTCGATACGGATAAGGAGGAAAACGCCGATAAGTGCAGCTACACTTACAGAAAGACGAAATCGGTTCGCAACAAGAAGGGCAAGAACGCGAAGTACAACCTCGTCGGGCTCCACAATATGAAGTTTATGGTGCAGCAGATTTGGGACTTCGGGACGGACTCGTGCGTATCGCAGGCGCCCGAATAGGGGATGCAATGACGCATCGTGATTCGTGAAGCTTTGAGGTGAAGTGTGACGAGAAGAAATGCGCGACAGGGAAGGGAATGGGTGGGAGGTTTGGCCGCAGCAGTTATCTGCATCCTCGATAGCTGCAGCAAGCAAGGCGAAGCGTATGCTGCGCTAGAGAATAAGATTCGCTGGAGTCTGTCAGAATGTTATTATTGTCTAGCCTGTAGTGGGGTGCTCTATAGCGAGTACAACCCAGTTAGGGTTTGCTATATGTACCCCAACTGCTGCTAGTGAAACCCCTCTCCTTTCAATCATTCTTGCCTAGTTCTCTTAACATGCTATCAGAGCAGGACGATCCAGATGGGTCGATCCTGTGGGTGGGCCCCACCACCTGCTTCCGCTGCTCCTACTACTCTTTGTGTCGCACGCCCCGTGGCGTGCGACGGATTTTTCATCCCGCCGCGCGCTCGGGGCGTGCGGCGGTTTTCTCCCCGCCGTGCGCACCGAGGCGTGTGGCGGTTTCCTACCGTGGGCGTCGCCCGCGGCCCCCCGATCCCGTCGCCCGCGGCCCCGCGATCCCGTCGCCCGCGGCCCCCCCCCCCCCCCCCCCCCCCCCCGATTTCCCGTCGCGCCGCCCTGGGGAGCCGCGCGCGACCCCCCGCGGCCCCGACTTCCCGTCGCCCTGGGGAGCCGCACGCGACCCCCCGCGGCCCCGTTTTCCCGTCGTGCCGCCCTGGGGAGCCGCGCGCGACCCCCCGCGGCCCCGATTTCCCGTCGTGCCGCCCTGGGGAGCCGCGCGCGACCCCCCGCGGCCCCGATTTCCCGTCGCGCCGCCCTGGGGAGCCGCGCGCGGCCCCTCGCTGCCCCGTGGTGGCGTCCTGGGGGCCGAGCGCCGTCCCCCTCGCCGTCCCCCGCGCTCCTTCCCCCGTTCCGCCCGTTTTTAGGGTTTGGGGGTGAGGAGTGTGGGGGTGGCAGCTATGGGGGTGCCGTGTGTGTGCGCCGTCCCCTGCTCCTCCTCCTCCTCCGTCTCCCACTGCTGCAGCTGCCGCTGAGGGGGGTGGATGTGTGGGAGCCGAGGTTTAGGGTTTAAGGGGGGTGTCGTGGAAGTGGAGCTAGGGTGTCAGCAGGGGGTGTGTGAGAGGGGCGTGGGACGGTCGGGGGAGGTTGCGTGGAGGTAGCCGTCGTGACGCCAGCAGCGCAAGTATGTCAGAATGTTATTTGTCTAGCCTGCAGTGGGGTGCTCAATAGTGAGTACAACCCCTTAGGGTTTGCTATTTGTGTGTTCTGCTGCTTGCTAGTCACCATTCATTCTTCGTTCCAATTCTCCTTCGTAAACCCTAACTCCTAGTTCTAGAGCACACCCACCTACCTCCTAGTGTGGGCCTAGGCTACTAAGCCTAGGCCCCACACCTACGATTCTAACAAAGTAGTCCGGATGCCCTCGCGCGTTTCGGTAGCCCAGCGAGCCTGCTTCGCCAGTCGCCTGTGGGTCCGTTGCTCCTGTGTGTGCTCGTCGTAGCCGCGGAGCCAGATACTCCCGTAGTCCGGTGCCCTCGTGCGCTCGGTAGCCACTGTGCGCGCCGCTCCTGTTGCCCGTGTGTCTGCAGCTTCAGTCGGCGCCTTTCATCTTCTCGCCCTCACAGTTTCTCCTCCTCCTCACTTGCCCTCTATGATCACCTCTAGCTTTGCTTATAATTGTGAACTACTGCTATGCCTGCTCATTGTACTGATTACACCCCACTTTGGCTATGGGGGTGTGTCAGAATGTTATTATTGTCTAGCCTGTAGTGGGGTGCTCTATAGCGAGTACAACCCAGTTAGGGTTTGCTATATGTACCCCAACTGCTGCTAGTGAAACCCCTCTCCTTTCAATCATTCTTGCCTAGTTCTCTTAACAGAGTCGTAGCAGCAGTGCACGACAAACGGCGCTCTTTATGCCAGAAGTTGGTGTCCGAGAGTAGTAGTCACCAAGGAGGGTTCTAGATGATCCGAAATAAAGGCCTTGTTCGATAGCTTCACAGTCCAGGGGTGACCACAGTCCTATCACAGTATTGCGTGGCTCGGTAAAGGCTCGGCAGCTGCAAACATGGGCTTTAAACCCTACGCGAGGTTAGGCAGATCCAAACCAGAACCTGAAGTACGTTCGGCACACCTACGAATCTGGTGCGGTAATTTTCGCTGTGGACCGCGGTCCAAATACTGTTGCCTGCTGGTCAAGCAACAGTAATTCACGGGCAAAAATACTTGGTTTCCGCTGGCTGCACCAACGACAGCCTCCCTAATGCCACTTTGAAGCTGTAAACATTTTGGGCAGAAATTGTGGAAAAACTGCTGTACCCTAAAACGTTCGGTGTACAGTTTTCCCGTAAAGCAGTTGATTATTATTTTTTGAAACGCGTTTGTCGTCGAGGGTACACTGTGAGTTGAAATTTTCATCTTTCAAATACCCAGCAGTGAGTTCTCCGAAGTTCAACAAGTGCTATTTTGGATTTTTGTGTAACAATTTCTCATATCTGATTCTGCTAGGATCAATTGAATTGCGCACTGTGTCGGTTTGTTTTATTCATTGACTACGCGGTTCTGACTGTTGCGACTTGGCCTGTTCGGTCAGCTATCAAAACTGTAAACCAAATCAAGTTGCATTTGGAGGTAGTGACCCCAGGTTCGGAAACCCTAGGCCGACTCGGCAATACTGTGGTGGGGCTGTACAAAATAATGAAGTTCAATCGAACAGGGCGAAAGTCCAGACTTTTGTTGCGACTCGTGACCCATGAGTAGTGAGGGGCATTGTGGGATCACGCTTCCCCGTCACCACCCACCACCACCTGCGTTCTGCGGGCGCATCAGCTCTGATGCGTCTGAGGCTCGGCCTGATGCGCACATTTAGAAATTGAGGTTCGGAATTCGCGAATTGCACATTTAGAAATTGAGGTTCGGAATTTTCTAATTGAGGTTCGGACAATCTGACGAAATTGAATTGTGGTCAGGAAATTAGAAAATAAATTTCCTGACCAATTCACACATTTTAGATGTTATAGGTTTCTCGGATGCTTCTTGTTTGGTAAATCTCGAGTTGGCCAAACTGATTGGCCAATAAGGTTGCAGCGCATCAGCTGATGCGCGCATGGTGCATGTTTTCGAAATTGCATCATGCGCGCATCAGTGATCCGCCCGATTGCTAGGAGAAGAAGCTTCCAGGAACACGATGACATTACAAATTTCGGAAGCCAAAAATGTCAGAATATATTTGTGTAACTGCCTGTAGCTGTAGTTTAGTGTAGCAATCATAAACTGTTGGTGGTGGTGCACCATTCTTCTCCCTTGCCTATTTGTACTGTTCGCTCCATAGTAATCCACATTCTCGTCCCCCTCCTTTGGCACAAACTCACTCGTCTCCCCGTGGCCTAGGCTACTAAGCCTAGGCCCTACTTAAACCTACTTTCTTGCTACCTACCTTTCTTAACATGGTATCAGAGCCTGTCAAGTCTTGGCCTGTGGGCCAGCCTCTCGCTTCCGCTGCTGTTTTTCCGGTCGCGCGCCTCGGGCGCGTGGCGATTTTCAACCTGTCCTGCGCCCGGGTGGCGCGTGACGTTTTTTCTGCCCGTCGCGGACCCGCCCCTGGCGCCCGCGACGGTAGCCTGAGCTGCCGCGGACCCTCCCCTGGCGCCCGCGACGGTAGCCTGAGCTGCCGCGGGCCCGCCCCTGGCACCCGCGACGGTAGCCTGAGCCGCCGCGGATCCGCCCCTGGCGCCCGCGACGGTTGCCTGAGCCGCCGCGGACCCGCCCCTGGCGCCCGCGACGGTGCCCTGAGCCGCCGCGGACCCGCCCCTGGCGCCCGCGACGGTGCCCTGAGCCGCCTCTGCCTCACCCGTGCCTGTGCTGCCCCTGTGTCTGATCCCCTTCCCCTCCTCCTCCTTTCGTTCCCACTGCTGCAGCTGCCGCTGGGGGGGAGGGTGTGAGGGTGTGGGGGAGCTGGGGGTGTCAAAATGCTAGGCCAAAACGAGAAACAGGCAAGAAGGGTTTTGACTAACAAGCATAGGGATACATATATGCAAACCCTAGAAGGGCTGTACTCGCTATAGAGTACCCCACTGCAGGCTAGACAACCATCACATTCTGACACACCCCCATAGTCAAAGTGGGGTACAATCAACATAACAAGCAGACAGAGGAGAAACTGTGGGAGCAAGAAGATGAGAGGCGACGGCTGAAGCTGCAGACACACAGGCAGCAGGAGTACGCCGCACTGACGCTACCAGGCTAAACCCGGACTACACGGCGACAGGGGGTCGCAGCTGGCTCGCTGTGCTCCCAGGAGTGCACACACTGTAGCTACCGGGCGCAGAGCCCCGGACTACTCAGGCCACAGGGGGTCGTGGCTCCCTGGACTTCAGGCGCTGCGGACGACAAGTCGACGGCCTCCTCTCAACTTCCCCCAGCTGTCCCACCCCCTTTTTACACACCCCCTGCTGTTCCCCTAGCACCGCTCACACTACACCCCCTAGCGCCACTCCCTCGGCTCCCACACACCCACCCCCCTCAGCGGCAGCTGCAGCAGTGGGAGACGGAGAAGGAGGAGGAGGGGAACGGCACTCAGTGGCTTCACCCCCATACCCCTCACCCCCAAACCCTAATTCAGGAGAACGGGCTGTAGGAGGGGTGGGGCGCCAGTAGAAGCACGGGGGACAGTGGGGAGGGCAGGGGCAGCGAGGAACGGGCCGCCCACGGGCCTGGCATAGCCGCCCGAACCGCGCGCAGGCGGCCCGAGCCGCGCGCGGGCCTGGCGCTTCCCGTACGGGCCGCGCGCGGGCCTGGCGCAGCCCGTACGGGCCGCGCGCCGGCTGTACGGGCCGCGCGCAGGCCACGACGGGCGACGGGGGGCGACGCGCGGGTCCCCGTCGCCCGTCGCAGCGCCTCCCGGGGGCGACGTGCCGAGTGACGGGGCAGAAAACCGCCGCGCGCCCCGGGCGCGTAGCGGGAAGAAAAAATCGCTGCGCGCCCGGAGCGCGCGGCAGGCAGGAAACAGCAGGAAACAACAGCGGAAGCTTCTGGTGGGACCACCCACAGGATCGACCCAGGAGGGTCGACCCGCTCTGATAGCATGTCAAAATGCTAGGCCAAAACGAGAAACAGGCAAGAAGGGTTTTGACTAACAAGCATAGGGATACATATATGCAAACCCTAGAAGGGCTGTACTCGCTATAGAGTACCCCACTGCAGGCTAGACAACCATCACATTCTGACAGGGGGAGAGGTGCTAGGGTTGTCGAGGAGTGTGGAAGGGGGATTTGGAGGACTGGGGGAGGTTCCAAGAAGCAGCCGCCTCGGTGCCAGCAGCTTCACCTGCCATCAGCTTCTCATCTAGTCCCTCCTCCTCCTGACTGCTTCTCTAATTCTGCCTTTTGTCTCTCTTTGCTGTTATTTGTAAACTTGTCACTGCTCTTGCCTACTGCTGCTTTACTCTGCTTGGTGTACCCATCCAAGAGGTGTCGTTGCACAAACTCCTGCTGCAGGCAGTTATGGGGGAGTGTCAGAATATATTTGTGTAACTGCCTGTAGCTGTAGTTTAGTGTAGCAATCATAAACTGTTGGTGGTGGTGCACCATTCTTCTCCCTTGCCTATTTGTACTGTTCGCTCCATAGTGAACCACATTCTCGTCCCCCTCCTTTGGCACAAACTCACTCGTCTCCCCGTGGCCTAGGCTACTAAGCCTAGGCCCTACTTAAACCTACTTTCTTGCTACCTACCTTTCTTAACAAAAAAAGCCGTTCTGCAAGCATTCGGAAGGATTGTGCTTCGGCGGCCATGCGCTTCGTTCTGCAGGCATTCGGAAGGATTGTGCTTCGGCGGCCATGCGCTTATCGCGAACCTTGATAACCTGTCGGCAGGTTATCACAGAAGGATCGTAGAACCATGGTTGACCACATCAATGTACATTGATGCGGGCTGATGCGCCCGCAGAACGCGGCCCTTCCTCTATCAGCGATTGAAGTGAGCTGATTCTTTGACACCGTATCTATTGGCTATGTCCGCACCGCATTTTGGAGCTTGGAAGCAGGCACAAGCCAGGTGCGTTTCCAATTGCAGAATAAAATTACACTTCACTTTTGTGTTACAATCAGTTTTAATCAAGGTGCAACAGGAGAGCCTTTGGTCATGTTCATCTGTTGTTTGCTATACTTGTTGACGGGGCAAGTCGGGTTCCGGCCAAAGATCTCATCCACAAGCCGCACTTCTCGGCGCTCAAAGAACCAATCGGCTACAGCCTGAGCCATGGACTGCACACAACACAAACGCAGACTCACGCACACACCCACGCACACACCACCCAAGTAGAGAATAAGCCATCAATTTCCTGTGGAAAATTGACTGAGCGAACATGGATGTTCTATACAGCATCAAGAAACATTGGGAAGGTTACGTGAAAGAACCGTGATTCGAGTCGACTCAAAATTCCTGTGGAAAATCAACTGAGTGAACATGGATGTTTCATACAGCGTCAAGAAACATTGGGAAGGTTATGTGAAAGACGCACTAGAAAGTAGACGAGGGAGGCAGCAACTGCATGTACTGAAACATGAATGGCGAAGAAACACGAGCACAGACCAGTACACAAGAATGGCAGAGAGGGTAACTCACTTGGTTTGATAACAATGGCCCTCGAGTCCCATGCCATGACTCCCAGAGCGCCTGCAGAGAACGACACAAGGAGAGATGAATCAACGGCACAAGAGGGAGGCGCGGTGCATGGAAGGATGATTTGGAGGGTAGGGGGCAAAACATGGCGAGGAAGGGGAAGGGAGAGATGGGAGGAGAGTTGGGTGTCGACGCATGAGAGAGAGGGACACATTGGGCAGTGGTAGATATGTATTTCTATGCCTTGGCATGATGCAGCAAAACAACCTGCTGACCAGCCAATCAACGAGCACATGATCATGCGTGCATGTGACAAACTAATGTGTGCATGCAAAATACCATGGCGTGCATGCAACTTACCATGGTGTGCATGCAACATACCATGGTGTGCATGCAACATACCATGCTGTGCATGCAACATACCATGGTGTGCATGTGGCACGAGGCGAGAAAAAAACCATGCGGGCAACGCTTCACTAAAATAAGGCCGGCTTTTCCCCCTGTCCTCCCCATTGCCCCTCCCCCACCAGGTGGCCACCACTGCAACCATCTACTGCCGCTGCCCCACTCTTGCCCTCCCTGCCCCGAGCCTGGCTCTCCTGTTGCCTGCCACAGGCTCGGCACCGAAGCTAAGACCCGAGCCTGCATCAGAGGCTGGAGCTTCTTCACCATTTCGGCTCGGTAGGCTGCGGCAAGGGGAGTATGTGAAAATAAAGGTTACCAATATATACACAACACACATATAGATATAGGTATATATGATACATAATATATCCATACAAGAAAGACGAATACAGCTCCTGAAAATTCATTTTCCGCTCCCCCACCTATTCACCAGACAGATAACACGGTGAATATTGAAAGCCTAAGTATGAATTAGAGGAGGTAAACAAGGCAGATGAGCAAGCAAGGCATCCAAGCTTGAAGCCTCTTCTGGACGGAAAAAAACATCGAAAGAATCTGATCTCAAACGCACCCCCTCAATCTCATCGTTCGTTGCTACACTCCCACTTGCACAACCACATACTGTGGAATCACAACCACTCACTGTGGAATTTCCGAAGCAGTTGTCCCGGGGAATCCATCAGTGACAACCCGCAATCCTCCCAGTGCTGGGAGTTGAAGGGCTTACGAGGCGCCTCAGAAGTCTGCTTGTTCAAGCACAACCACTTACTGTGGAATTTCCGAAGCAGTTGTCCCGGGCAATCCCTGAGTGACAACCGGCACTCGTCCCAGTGCTGGGATTTGGAAGATATTTTGAGGCGCGTGGCAACGACCGTCCCAAGTCTGCTTGTGCAATCACAACCACTTACTATGGAATTTCCGAAGCAGTTGTCCGGGGCAGTCCGACAATGCCAAGCGGCACTCATCCCAGTGCTGGGATTTGAAGGACGCTGGGACGGCGAACGAATAGTTCATCTGATAAGCAAGTGATATGTACGTAAGGGTCGGGAAAGGAGGGGTTGGGAGGAGTTGACAGGGTTGGGAGGAGTTGAAAGGATTGGGAGGAGTTGACAGGGTTGGGAGGAGTTGACAGGTTTGTGAAGGAGGGGTTGGGCAGGGTTGAAAATCAAGGTGTTTGGCAGGGTTAGGAAAAGGGTGGTTGGCAATTTCTGTGTGACTGCCAACAGAACATAGGGCCTTGCCCTTCAAGCCCCAAGATATATACACTTTGTTGAGCCGTGTTTTGAGTCGACTAAAACACGGCTCATTTTGAGTCGACTCAAAACCCGACAAAACATAGCGCCTTCTCCTTTAAGCCCCAAGATATATACACTTTGTTGGGTTGAACGATACTGCGGAAGGAAAGTGTCGGGATGAAATTCCGAATCTTCGCCAACCAACACTTTCGTGCTTGCAAGCCTGGTTCAACGCAGTCGTTTCTGTTCTGAACCGTCGAAGGACAAATGTGGGCCGTCGGATTAAGGCACAGCTCTCGTTTCAGGAAGAAACGGTGCTTTGAGGGGCAAGGGCTCTCAGAAAGTGACCCTAATACAGAGCAACAAATGGCTCGAGGGGCGACAAACAAATGGAGGGGAGTGGAGAGGAATTCCCGTCAAACAACGTACGGAGCAGTGAATATTTCAAAATGAGGGATTGATATCAATAATGAGGGGGGCTACTTGTAAGAGCGATGAAGGGAGGGAGGGAGGGAGGGAGGGAGGGAGGGAAGGGAGGGAGGGAGGGAGGGAGGGAGGGAGGGAGGGAGGGAGGGAGGGAGGGAGGGAGGGAGGGAGGGAGGGAGGGAGGGAGGGAGGGAGGGAGGGAGGGAGGGAGGGAGGGAGGGAGGGAGGGAGGGAGGGAGGGAGGGAGGGAGGGAGGGAGGGAGGGAGGGAGGGAGGGAGGGAGGGAGGGAGGAGGGAGGGAGGGAGGGAGGGAGGGAGGGAGGGAGGGAGGGAGGGAGGGAGGGAGGGAGGGAGGGAGGGAGGGAGGGAGGGAGGGAGGGAGGGAGGGAGGGAGGGAGGGAGGGAGGGAGGGAGGGAGGGAGGGAGGGAGGGAGGGAGGGAGGGAGGGAGGGAGGGAGGGAGGGAGGGAGGGAGGGAGGGAGGGAGGGAGGGAGGGAGGAGGGAGGGAGGGAGGGAGGGAGGGAGGGAGGGAGGGAGGGAGGGAGGGAGGGAGGGAGGGAGGGAGGGAGGGAGGGAGGGAGGGAGGGAGGGAGGGAGGGAGGGAGGGAGGGAGGGAGGGAGGGAGGGAAGGGAGGGAGGGAGGGAGGGAGGGAGGGAGGGAGGGAGGGAGGGAGGGAGGGAGGGAGGTAGTTGCGGATAAAGAGGGAGGTCCGCTGCAACAGAAAGAGCTAATCAGAAAGAGAGGGTAAACATTTGAGGCAGCGGGTGGGGCTTTAAAGTCGAGTCAAGAGGAGCTACCTGCCAGGAGTCATAGAGGGTATTGCCGATTAGGAGAGGGGTGTGCAGCAAAGGTCAGAGAGCTGACTCGAGAAAGCTATGGGGGGCTTTTGAGAGTCAGGTGAAGAGAAGGGATGTGCTGGGAATGAGCGGGGAAGAAGGGGAGAGGACGCACCTGCCAGGAGTCGTAGAGGGTGTTGCCGATGAAGAGAGGGGTGTGCAGCAGCGGGAGGAAATACTCGGGAAAGAAACACTGCAGTGGTGGTGGGGGGGGGGGGGGGGGGGGGGGAGAAGCAGAAGAGAACGAGAGCAGATTCTGAGACACCTCAAGCATGCTGCAAAGGAGAAAGAAAGTCTGCAGTGATGGGAAGGCGGGGGGAGAGGAAGGGGGGAGAGAGAGAGGGGGAGAGCTGACTTTTGAGTCGACTCAAAAGCCACCTCTCAAGCATGCTGCACGAAGAAAGACTGCAGTGATGGGAGGGCGGGGAGAGAGGGGAGTAGAGAGAGCGGCTTTTGAAACACCTCAAGGGTAATGCAAGCAGACGCAGCGCCGAGAGAGAAAGAAGGCTGTTGAGACGTCTCAAAAGGCGGGGAGAGGGGGGGGGGGGGAGAGAGGGTTACTATTGAGACGCCTCTGTTCTAAAATAACTGAGACACCTCAACGGTATGCAAGAAGAACCACTGCCGAGAGAGCAGAAAGAAAGAGAGAGAGGGAGCAGTTGGTATGATGGGAAGTGAGGTATGATGGGAAGTGAGGTGTGATGGGAAGTGAGGTATGATGGGAAGTGAGGTATGATGGGAAGTGAGGTATGAGGGGAAGTGAGGTATGATGGGAAGTGAGGTATGATGGGAAGTGAGGTATGATGGGAAGTGAGGTATGAGGGGAAGTGAGGTATGAGGGGAAGTGAGGTATGAGGGGAAGTGAGGTATGATGGGAAGTGAGGTATGATGGGAAGTGAGGTATGATGGGAAGTGAGGTATGATGGGAAGTGAGGTATGATGGGAAGTGAGGTATGATGGGAAGTGAGGTATGAGGGGAAGTGAGGTATGAGGGGAAGTGAGGTATGAGGGGAAGTGAGGTATGAGGGGAAGTGAGGTATGAGGGGAAGTGAGGTATGAGGGGAAGTGAGTTATGAGGGGAAGTGAGGTATGAGGGGAAGTGAGTTATGAGGGGAAGTGAGGTATGAGGGGAAGTGAGTTATGAGGGGAAGTGAGGTATGAGGGGAAGTGAGTTATGAGGGGAAGTGAGGTATGAGGGGAAGTGAGTTATGATGGGAAGTGAGGTATGAGGAGAGGAGAGGAATGAGGAGAAGAGAGGAATGAGGAGAAGAGAGTGCAAGCAAGGTGGTGAAAAGGAGGAGGAAGGGCCTGCTGCAGATTCAAACAGTAACTGGGAAGAAAACACGAAATTACAGAAACAAACTCCGAGGCGCCTCACAAGAACAGCATTTGGAAGAAAAGACAGGAAACAATCCGAGCTGTTTTGAATCTGGGTGGTGCGCTTGGATTGAGAGTGCATAGGGTGAGTCAGCGAGCATGCCTTTTTGGTCATGAGGTGATTCTTTAGGTGCCTCAGGAATCACCTCAGAGCGAGCACGCACCACTGGTCATGAGGACGAGAAGAAAAGATGAGACGAAACGAGAAGAGGTGAGAAAAGAAGGTAAGATAAGAGGAGAGGAGAGAGGAGAAGAGAGGAGAGAAGAGGAGACGAGATGAGAAGAGAGGAGAGGGGAGGAGAAGAGAAGAGAGGGGAGGAGAAGAGAGGAGAGGGGAGGAGAAGAGAGGAAAAGGGAAGGTAGCTTGCCTTCCATCGCTCCGCTGTGCGATTGGCCAGCTGATCCAGACAGCCCTCGTGCACCGACACGTTCTGAGATGGGGTGAAATGCGACCCAGAGAATAACATGACAGGGGAGAGGGGCGGAGCGGAGACAGGAAAACGACAAGAAATATTAATGAGCTGACCCAGACAGCCCTCGTGCACCGACACGTTGAGAGAGAAGGAAACAAGGCCCAGGTGATCCTGTGACCTGTGATCCTGTGACCTGTGATCCTGTGACCTGTGATTCTGTGACCTGTGATCCTGTGACCTGTGATTCTGTGACCTGTGATCCTGTGACCTGTGATCCTGTGACCTGTGATCCTGTGACCTGTGATTCTGTGACCTGTGATCCTGTGACCTGTGATTCTGTGACCTGTGATTCTGTGACCTGTGATCCTGTGACCTGTGATTCTGTGACCTGTGATCCTGTGACCTGTGATTCTGTGACCTGTGATCCTGTGACCTGTGATTCTGTGACCTGTGATTCTGTGACCTGTGATCCTGTGACCTGTGATCCTGTGACCTGTGATCCTGTGACCTGTGATTCTGTGACCTGTGATCCTGTGACCTGTGATCCTGTGACCTGTGATCCTGTGACCTGTGATTCTGTGACCTGTGATTCTGTGACCTGTGATTCTGTGACCTGTGATCCTGTGACCTGTGATTCTGTGACCTGTGATTCTGTGACCTGTGATTCTGTGACCTGTGATTCTGTGACCTGTGATTCTGTGACCTGTGATTCTGTGACCTGTGATTCTGTGACCTGTCAGACTCTGAGCTGACAACAGAGTCGACTTACGTACGTCAACCGCAGCATCAGTTAAGTCCCCCGCGCAATCTGCATGTCACATCAGCAGGCCGCGAAATACCTGCAGCCTAACTTCTGAGGCGCCTCAAAAGTCGCAATCTTCATGTCACATCAGCAGTCCCCAAAACACCTGCCGTGCAGTCTGACGACGGTCGAGAAGAGCCTCCTTGTCTCCTGCTGCAGCGCTGCCCTCACGACAATGCGCACCCAAGTCAACTCTGTAGCCCCACCCACCCATCCGGCTATAGAGCGGACTGCAGCTGCCCTGTATGTAGGTTGTACACTCTACCTGCAGTCTGACAACAGCTGAGAAGAGCTTTCTCATCTCGTGCTGCACTGCATGACAGCCCAAGCTCCCACCCACCCACCCACCCATCCCCGCTGAAGCGCGGACTGTAGTGCCCCGTATGCCGCGAGTACACCCTACCTTACCTGCAGCCTGACCACCACGGCTGAGAAGAGCTTTCTCAGCTCGTGCTGCCCTCCCACGTCTCTACTGTCCAGAAACACGCCGCTATCCCACCCCGGCTATAGCGCGGGCTACAGCTGTCCTGCATGCTGTGCGTGCATGCACCCTACCTGCAGCCTGACAACGGCTGAGAAGAGCTTCCTCAGCTCGTGCTGCCCTCCCACATCCTTGGTGTCGAGAAACACGCCCCCATCGCCCATGCACTTCACCTCAGGGGGTGGAGGATGCAGAGGAAGAGGAGGAGGAGGAGGAGGAGGAGGAGGAGGAGGAGGAGGAGGAGGAGGAGGAGGAGGAGGAGGAGGAGGAGGAGGAGGAGGAGGAGGAGGAGGAGGAGGAGGAGGAGGAGGAGGATGGGGAGGACGCAGCAGCAGCAGAAGCAGTAGCAGGAGCAGTACCACCAGCAGCGCCACCAGCACCATCAGCAGCAGCATCAGCAGAGGTGAGGGAAGAATTTGTTGTTGAGACTCCTCCAACATTGTTCTGGCAAACCAATCACAGTGCAGGAAGGCTGCCAGCGCACCGGCTGAGCCTCCCCCAAATAGGACGTGCGATGCCGCCCGCAGGTTGTGGTGCTGCAGGAGATGGTTTACAACGGCCGGCATGATGTGCCTGCCTCTGAAGAAGATGAACTTGTTGGTCCCCTGTGCGCATACGAAGCATGGGCGGAAGGGCGAGAGGACAAGATTTAACACTTGTCAAGAAGCAGCAGATAGCTCACGACAGCCAGGACGATGTGGTTGCCTCTGAAGAAGATGAAAATGTTGGTCCCATGTGGTGCATGATGGTGTGGTACAGGGCATGAAACGGCGGGACGAGAGGTGGGAGGCACGGAGGGAGGGAGGCTGGAGAAGTGTAAGAGGTTACCTCGAAAGAAAGGATAAGCACACGCATAGCACAGAGCCAGCCCAACCACAATCAGCGCAGCAGCCCCTCCCCCACAACCCCCTCTCTCCTCTCCTCCCTCCCTTCCCTACATATGCACACAACACACACACACACCGGTACTTTGATGCGGTAGCTCTTGTTGCCAGAAAATGAAGCGCCGTCGCAGTAGCGCACCACCGCACGGTTCCAGCTGAAGAACTCTAAAAAGGGGACAGCAGGCCATGCCAGAAATTTGGGAAGAGAAGTAAGAGGTCAGGGAAGGGGGTGTACATGGAGTGCTAGTGTGTGACGGGGGTGTGGGTGAAAAGAAGGGGCATCCTTATGTGTGTGTGGTGTGTGTGTTGTACGGGAGGAAGAGTGGGGAACGTGGAATTTGCATGAAATAGAATGGCAACCAGGAGGAAGAAATGCGAGGTGCCTGGACTGGACCTCCTACCTGTGCTTGTGATGTGCTTGTTTGCAGATTTAGCGACACGTTTCCACGCTACTATATATGAACGCACTGGTTCGCTCACTGAGCTGATTGATTTTACGGCCAGAAGAAGACTCACTGGGACTGATCCTATAACAAAACACACAGGATTCATCCTATAACGAGGACACTACCCAGGATTGATCCCATAACGAGGGCGCTCACCAGGGTTGATCCTATAACGAGGACACTCACTCACCAGGGTTGATTGCCGGGTTGGGAGAGAGAATGCCAATGAACGAGTATGGCTGCATCTGATTGGACGAGCCTAGCTTGGTGAGCGATCGGTTGTAGCAATCGTTGATTGAACCACACCAGGCGCCACCCTGCCATGTGCGTGAGGGGCAGGGAAGAGAGGGAGAGATGGAAATAGAAAGACAGAGTTGGGAAGGGCGGGCCAGACAGAACAAGGGAGGGAAATGGAAAGCGGAATGGGACAGAGCACTATGTGCATTTTGGACCTATTCAACCCAAACCCTTGAACAACAGTGAATGAATCAATGCGTGTGATTAAATGCTCCTCCATACCTCGAGAAAGATGACCCACTTGTTAGCCCCGTCCCCTGACCCTGCCTGAAAGTGGAATCCGGGCGGAGTGCCGTCGAGACACACTGTGTGGCGGGTGGAAACGGAGCAAAGACAAAGAATCGCAATGAGCGGGTCATCGGACAACGGAAATGACTTTTGAGACGTCTCAAGAGGCGTCTCCTTACATGTGGGCGGTGTGCCGTCCAGACACACTGTGTGGCGGGTGGAAAAAGATCAAGACATAATCGCAATGAGAGGGTCATTAGATAAGGGAGATGAGAATGACGCAGAGAGAGCGGGGAAACGCACAGGGCGACTCTCTGCAAACGCTCACCTTTCTCTATTGTCACCTTGCCCACACTACCTTTCTCACCCTTGTCAAACGTCACCTCTCCCAGTCCACAACAGCCACACACCCTTTCTGAGACGCCTCTTAAACAAGTTTCACACGTCACCTCGTCCAGTCCACAACAGCCACTCCACCACCCTTATAGAACACAAGGGTCGGGTGATTCGTGCCAATCCGCACCCAGCAGCAAACGTCCACCTGTCCACCAAAAGCATAGCATTCACGCGTTACCGTTGGCTACGCTGTAGTACACATCTTGTCCGAGGTGTAACAATCGCCAGACTTCGCCACGAATAAACGCGTCCGTTTTCCAACCCATTCCCGCGCGTACCCGCTAAGCCGCCGAGTGTGTCGTTGACGATCGTCACAGGGATCTTCGGCCCCGTTATAGGTACTGCCTTATATCGATTCACTTCAAAAAAAGGCTCGGTCCCGGCAAGATCGTTTCGTGTGACGAAGGAGACGAGCATCCATATGAACGGGAACGCGACGGCGAGACTGATCTGACGGCTGAACGGTCTTAATCGCGACGCGGCTAATCGCAAGGCGGGAGACACCGCGCCCATGTTTCCGTAGATGGAGCGATCTGACGGTGCTAACGGTCGAAAATGCGAAGCTCGAGGATCGGACGGCTAACAGTCGAAATTGCGAAGCTCGAGGATCGGACGGCTAACGGTCGAAATTGCGAAGCTCGAGTGATCGGATGGCTAAACGTTCGTAATTGCAAAGCTCGAGTCGGCTCTTGTACGCATTCACGAGGCAAGAGTTATATCGCATCAGTGACCGTGGTGGAGAATAATAAGTTACAGCACCGTGGAAGCTTCATAAAAACTTCGTCCGAAGAAGCATGAAAGTAGTCGCTGGCCTGACATATGGCGATACGAGTCCGTTCCTGTAGGTTACTTTTGACTATGCCGCGAAACGACAGATTGTTCACTGTCCAACGGTAATTCACGTATATCGTAGCGAATCGTGGCCATTCACCATCAACGATCGGTCTCCTACATCGCGTGACCAATCAGCGTCCCGCCATTCACAAAATCTCTATGGAAATCAAACCCAAAGTTCACCATTGCTGCAGGATTGTAACGCCTGTGGCCGTATTGCGAACGGGGATCCGCTGCGCTTCTATAATATACACCCGTTCAGACCCAGTCGGTAGCCGGGTGGTGTTATCAGGATGACAGTCCAGTGACGATAACTTCCACACTAGCAGGCCAGGGCGTTATACCAGAAACAGCGCTCAGCAGCACCTTGATTTCTAGCAGCTCATCAGTGACCTGACCATTCACTTCGTGCACCGAGTCACTGACAGTGTGCAATCACAATCACTTGCTGCGTTTGGGTACGATGCTGTGGAATTTAGAACGGTTCACATGGTTTACCTGTTAAAACCGCAACTCGCCGCCAGGCTGGGACATTCGAGGCGTGGCATTCAGTTCAGGCCTGAGGTGTGTTCCAGACCACCGCATTTTCGAGGTTGGTGGGTTTGGTTTGGGATATCTTTCGAGGTTCGCGGCGGCCACAGTCATAGCGAAAGACTTCAGCGACGATGGTGGTTTTCGTGCATGCGGGCGAGTTGTCAGTGTGCCAAAATTCGGCCTTTTGCGAAAGTCGCGGGCTGGTGTCACCACCAATTCCAAACCTTCAGTTTAGCTGTATCTTACCTGATCATCAATGGAACCCATCCCACTTTCTTATTATGTCTATTATCGCGTACGATAGAAACCTTGCATTATGATCAACCAAGACTTCAAACGTTGCGATAGGAGGGTCCGAGAAAACAGCGTTCTATTTCGTCTGATTTCGCTTCACGTACACGTGCTCGCTCCACCAGCCGAGACCTTCGGTCGACCCTTTAGTAACCGCGTGGTAACTGGCTGCTAGCAGTGCTGCTTCCAAACAGCCTCGTCCGCCCACTGTGTGAGCCGATTCCGAACCGACCAATTCGTTTGTTTTCCGTCGAGCCATTTCCCACTGCTGGGTCGAGCCCAGTCGAGCTCATTGCTTCCCTCGTTCTCACGGATAGCGTCCCCCTATCGAAAGCTGTAGCGAGCTTATACTATTAGTAATAATGCACTGATGCTGCTTAGGTTGTGAAGGTGCTCGAAGTACTCATGCATAGATACTACGGAATATGTGCTTCTATTGAGTGTTGCTTATCCCGTCATCATGGAACCAGCCGCGTCTGCTGCCGCAGCATCTACTCCAGTACGCCTCGCTCCCTCCCCCTTAAAATCCCCTCTCCCCACTTCCCCCCTCTCCCCTCCCCCCAAACCCCGCCTCCCCCCAACCCGCACCCCACCCTTGATTCTTACTAGTCTTTCTGTCGATCCTTATCTCTTTCCCGTACCCGCTACTAGATGCATCAGTACTAGGTCTCAGTCCCTCCTGGAATCACTTATGAGAACTCTCAAAAGTAATTCCATGCATGGTCGCCCTTCCGGCATAGCCAGGTGCGTTAGCAGGGTCTTTGTCCCTCCTACGGTCGACATGAATCGTGCATGCACAGACATTAGTACATCACGCGACCATGCATCAGTGTACACACATGGTTTCCATACATACATGGTTTTCATGCATCAGTGTACATACATGGTTTCCATACATACATGGTTTTCATGCATCAGTGTGCATACATGGTTTTCATGCATCAGTGTACATACATGGTTTCCATGCATCAGTGTACATACATGGTTTTTATGCATCAGTGTGCATACTTGGTTTTCATGCATCAGTGTACATACACGGTTTTCATGCATCAGTGTACATACAAGGTTTTCATGCATCAGTGTACATACAAGGTTTTCATGCATCAGTGTACATACAAGGTTTTCATGCATCAGTGTACACACATGGTTTTCATGCATCAGTGTACATACAAGGTTTTCATGCATCAGTGTACATACATGATTTTCATACACACATGGTTTTCATGCGTCAGTGTGTGTGCATACATGGTTATCATGCATCACACAACATTCTTGAACATTCAAACCCCACGCTGCTCCTTCTCTCCTCCTCCACCCCCTCTGCAGCGTCGTTACCTGCTGACAGTGGAGTATACCAGGAGCGATTTAAACGGGTGGCAGAAGCAGCAACTGGGGAACTTTTGTGACCTCTCAAAACTTTCTCCCCCTCCTCCTCCTTCCCCTCTGCAGCGCCGGTACCTGCTGACAGTGGAGTACATTGGAAGTGCTTTTAGCGGGTGGCAGAAGCAGCCGCTGGGGAACAGCCCCCTGCCATCCGTGCAAGGCGCTTTGGAGGTGGGGGGAGAGAGAGGGGGCTGGTGCGTGTGTGGAGGATCTGTGAGCGTGTGTGAGGGTGCGTGAATGTGTGTCGAGCGTATGTGGCGCGCGCATATCAAGTGCTGAGATGGGATGGTTACAGGGTGCATGCTTGCTGGAATCTTAGCCCCTCTTTAGACGATGTTGAATCTTGTAACACACTGACGCCCGTATATCCATATATTACTATATATCTATATAAATATCTCTATATACATGTATATTTACACATTAAGATATATATTTCTCGTAACTTCTAATGCATACGTTCTCGTAAGGTGTTCATGAAGATTTTTCAAACGAATCTCGTAACTTGTAGCTGTTTAGCGCTCGTCGTTGCATGACCTCCTGGCAGACACCAATTGCGCGGCCTGCACTTGTCTTCTCTGTCCCTCCCGCCGTGCAGGAGGCAATAGGGAAGCTGGTGGGTTCCGTTCCTGCGGGCAACCACAAGAAGCAAAGAGGCAAAGGCAACAAGAGACCACAGTCTGAAGCACAAACACGTGCAGCTAAGGAGGATGGTGGCCTTGATGCGAAAGCAGGTGCAGGTGCAAAGGCAGATGCTGATGCTGATGTTGCCGAGGCAGCATCGCACGGTGACACCTTGGAGCCTCCGACTCTTCCTCTCCCTCGAGTCGTCGGCTCCAGCAGAACAGTATGATCTTGACTTCCTTTGACTTCCGTTAACTTCATGTTGCCGAATTGTATGTTCCTTCGACCAATCAGGATGTGCCTGTGCTGTTTTGGCTCATCTGGCCCAAGCCATGAACCCGTGTGGGATGTATTGTATTGCATTGGATTGGACTTGCTGATGTGGACCAATCAGGACGCGGGAGTGCACGCACTGGGCAACACGTGCCACGTGGACATTCATCGAGTGAGCCGCCGCCACCCGGGCAAGCAGGTTCGTGCACAGGGCACAAAGGAGTGAGGGGAGAACCACACACACAAACATAGACATGAGCAACGGGCGAACACCGAACATTTTCGCCCGAACCTCCACGAACATGTCTTGTGGGCGAACCGAACATGTTCGGTTCGCCCGAACATGTTTTGGCGATTTTAGGTGTTCGGTGTTCGTGATAGGGGGGCGAACACTGCATGTTCGGGCGAATCCAAGCATGTTCGAGGTCCAAGAGTGTGTTTTCAGTGGGCCTTCTTCTCCCCCGTTGCCTCCCTCCCCCCACTTCCGAACATCGAACATGTTAGGGCGTGTCCAGCGCGTACGTTTCGGGAAACTTAGAGCCCTCACACGTCTCTCAGATCAGAAAAACTCATTGTACCTAGAAACGAACCCAGGGCGAGCTTAGTCCAAAATGCTTGTGCCTTCCAGCGCGCGGACACAACCCCCATCACGTAATTTTCTACAGTCTTCCGAATGTGTGGAAACCAAGGTAACTAGCCCCCTCGTCAATCCTCGCGTGGGAATCATTGCGCAAGCGAAAATTTCTCGTTTGAGCGAAATGTACTGTAGTACGCAGGACACAATGCTGTACCCTTTTTCGCGCGCATGCTGTTTCAGGTGACATGAGTCAGACGACTCGACGTACGTGCAGGGGACGTGCCGTCTCATGAACGAAAGCTGATCCTGTCCAGCCTTTCTGTAAAATGCAGTGTTACAACCCTAAAAGTGGTAACTGATAGGGTTTATGAACTGTAAATGTACGCGCTGGACACCCCCTTAGGCCGAACATTTGTGGCCAAAAGACATGTTCGGTTCGGTTCTGTCACAAACATGTTCGGAAGAACCGAACAGGCGTTCAGATTTTTGCTCATGTCTACACACACACACACACACACACGCACACGCACACGCACACACACACACACACACACACACACACACACACACACACACACACACACCACACTTAATTCCGTATAACTCCTAAGGGCCTTTCAATCCTGCAAGGTTTTGCTCTTTGCGTGTGTTCCTTCTCCCCGTTATACGCTCATTCCAGATTTGAATAAATGCGACTTTTAGTGCAACAAGAGGCAGAAGATTCTGCCACTCTCCACAACTTCTCATTCGTCTTTTAGTACAAGATGGCGGCACCTCACAACTCCTCCTATGGTTTCTTCTCCCATTCGCCTTCTTCTCTCAATCATCAGGTGCCGCCCTTCTTACCAAAGGAGCTAACACGTGCAATTAACCATTTCCTGCAGGTACTACCATACCACAGTTACCTACCCACGAGGTGACTTTTGAGTCGACTCAAAAGTCTCCTCAACCAATTCCTGCAGGTACCATACCTCAACTGTCTATCTATCTGCCAGTC